AAAAAAAAAAAAATTTTTTTTTAATTAAATGCAAAAGAAAAAAAACCTTGCAGGTTTTGTGTTCCGCCCCCCCCTTCCTCCTCCTCCTCCTCCTCCTCCCTCCGCCCTCGCCGGGGGATGGGCTTGGGGAGGCCCCGCCCCGCGTCTCAGCGAACCAGCCCCGGCCCGGCCAGGCCGAGCGGCGGGCCCGGGAGCGAATGGGAGGCCGCGGACGTCTGGGAGGGTGCCCGCCGCTCCAGCGCCGCCCCTCCCCCAGCCCCAGTCCCGGGGGTTTGGGGGTGCGCCTGCCCACACTCCGGTGTAGTTTGTCGACGGCTTCGAGCCGTGCTCCGGGTGTCTGGGAGGACGAAGCCAAAGGGATCCGCGCTCCCAGATCCCCGGTGCCCATCCCACCTGGGGAGGGGGCGCCGTGCGCCCTGGGCGCGCCCCCAAGGCGGGGGACGGTCGCCCAGGAGGAGGACGCGCCCAGGGGGAGCGCCGAAGGTTCGAAAAGATAGCGGGAGTCCGAGCTAGAAGAGGAGGAAGTCCCCCGGAGGTGGGACCGCAAAGGAGCCCGGAGTCGGATCCGATCGGGGGGAGGGCGGCGGGGACTTTGGGGCGACAGGCCGGGCCCCCGGGCGTGGTTGATCGCTCACCCCAGTCCGTGCCTGGCGAGCCGCGGCGCGGCTGGGTAGGCAGGTCGCTCTTCTCTCGGAGGCTCTTCGCGGCTTCTCCGGCCGCGCTGATGGGATTCCCAGAAACCCCAGGACGCCGCCGTGGTTGGTGTTGGGTCCGTTTCCGCCCCACCAGGCCGTGAACGCCCTGCCGGCGGGACACTGGGATTCAGGCGTTGATGCAGAGAACGTGGTTTGCGCCCACTGTGTGCGCTGCGCCGGGCTGGGGGCCCAGCGGGGACCCAGAGCGCTGGGGCCCCTCCGGGGCGCACCGGCCAAGGGGACTTACATTCTGGTCTCTTATTCCCTTCTGTCTTCCCAGTGCTCAGAAAAGCTTGTGCACACAGTAGGTGCCCAATAAATGTGTGTTGAATAAATGATCAATTGAGACACATCTGTGTTTTTTAAGTCATAATATTTATCCTGTTCCTTTTGCGGTACCACCCGTAACATTTACTTCAACGTAGATTCTTCTTGTCAACCCCTGGTTCACATCCTACCTTTTCCACCTCCTTGCTGTGTGACTCTGGGCAAACGACTTCATCTCTCTGCCTCCATTTCCTCATCTCTAAAATGCATAGGGTCATTAGGAGGAATGACCTTTGGGGACAGCACCTGACCCGGAAGTGCCAAATAATGGTAGCTGTTACTATTATTGATGATTATTACATTAAAAGGAAACACCAATTCCAGAAGTGAACACGTGCTTTACCCGAAACATAAGAGTGCAGTAAATGTCTAAACTTACACAGTGCTCATCCACAATCCACAGGAGGTACGTGGACCCCTCTGGAAAACAGCAGTACACACGCGTTGACTATTTTTGTGTAATCCACCCCTTCCTTCCCAACTCTGCGCTTCTATTTGCCACAGTCGATTGAGCTACCCTTTTTAAAGTGTTAACTTGGTGGTGAGCATGGTGTTTCTAATCAGAACTGCCCACAAGGGAGAGACCATTAGCTACTTCCATCTTACGGTATAGAAAACTAAATTGGCTGGGACAGAGTGTTTTTGCTCAAGGTCATGTGACCAGGAAGCGGACCCAACCCTGAAGGCTTCACTGCACAAGAGGGACCCGGGATGGGTACGATTTGTATAGCTGTCATAGCTGCCAGCTCCTGGGGACTAAGAACTTGGGACTGAGTGGAGACTTTGTTTTTATTCACTCATACAGGAAATATTTTTTGAGTATCTAGTGGGCACTGTGCACCAAGGATCCAGTGATGACCAACACCACCCTGGTCCCTGCTTCCCACACAGCTCACAGTCTATTAGGCCATACAGACAATAACAAGTAAGCAAAAAAGTCATGTAGCCTCAGTTTACCACCTCGGTCATGCCCTCTGTGGTATGTCCCAGATTTCTTTGGTGCATTATAGTATATCCCCCACCCCTGGAACAGTGGCTGGCACTTAGTCAATGCTCTAGAAAGGTTTGCTGGACAGAGATAATACCCACCCCCTTCATTAGCACACCTGACCTCTTAGGGAGACGGTCTCTAGGCCATTGCCACTGAAATGGCCCTGGCTAGGTGTGGAGGAAACTAAAAAAAGGCCAGCCCCTTGGCTGGGCCACAGTGGCTCACACCTATAATCCTAGCACTCTGGGAGGTCGAGGAGTGAGGATCGCAGAAGGTCAGGGGTTCAAGACCAGCCTGAGCAAGAGCAAGACCCCGTCTCTACTAAAAATAGAAAGAAATTATCTGGAAAACTAAAAATATATATAGAAAAAATTAGCTGGGCATGGTGGCGCATGCCTGCAGTTCTAGCTACTCGGGAGGCTGAGGCAGAAGGAT